CTCCATCATCGTGTCTTCATGAAGTTGTCTCGCCAACTATTACTTCTACTACTATGGCTAACGGTTAGAAATAAAGTAAAGTAATTGCATGGCGTTTTCAATGACACGCAGGTCCAATAAATTAAGACAACTCCTATGGCTCCCGCCGGTTGTCATACTCATCGACATGCAAGTCGTGATTCCTATTACAAGAACATGATCAATCTCATACATCACATATATCATTCATCACATTCCTTTGGCCATATCACATCACATAGCATACCCTGCAAAAACAAGTTAGACATCCTCTAATTGTTGTTGCATGTTTTACGTGGCTGCTATGGGTTTCTAGCAAGAACATTTCTTACCTATGAAAAAGCCACAATGGTGATATGCCAATTGCTATTTACCCTTCATAAGGACCATTTTCATCGAATCCGATCCGACTAAAGTGGGAGGGATAGACGCCCGCTAGCCACCTTATGCAACAAGTGCATGTCAGTCGGTGGAACCTGTCTCACGTAAGCATCATGTAAGGTCGGTCCGGGCCGCTTCATCCCACAATACCACCAAACCAAGATAGGACTAGTAACGGTAAGCAAATTGAACAAACCAACGCCCACAACTAATTGTGTTCTACTCGTGCATAGAATCTACGCATAGACCTAGCTCATGATGCCACTGATGGGGAACGTAGCAATAATTCAAAAATTTCCTACGAATCACCAAGATCCATCTAGGAGATTCTAGCAACAAGAGAGAGAGAGAGAGAGAGAGAGAGAGAGAGGATGTGCATCTTCATACCTTTGAAGATCACTAAATGGAACCGTTATAAGAACGCGGATGATGGAGTCGTACTCGCGGCGATTCAAATCGCGGAAAATCCGATCTAGCGCCGAACGGACGGCGCCTCCGCGTTCAACACACGTACAGCCCGGGGACGTCTCCTCCTTCTTGATCCAGCAAGGGGAGAGGAGAAGTTGAGGGAGAGCTCCGGCAGCACGACAGCGTGGTGGTGGAGCTGCGCCAAGCACTACGGAGGAGGAGGAAGTGTTGGAGAGGGGGAGGGCTGCGCCAGGCACTACGGAGCTTGCAGTTCTCCGGCAGGGCTTCGCCAAGCACTACGGAGGAGGAGGAAGTGTTGGAGAGGGGGAGGGATGCGCCAGGGGAAGGGTGCGGCAGCTATCCCACCTCCCCACTATTTATAGGGGCAAGGGAGAGGGGGGGCCGACGCCCTCCAGATGGATCTAGAGGGGGGGGGGGCGGCGGCCACGGGGGGAGGCTTGCCCCCCAAGCCAAGGGGGGCGCCCCCTTTAGGGTTTCCCCCCAAACCCTAGGCGCTTGGGCCCTCGGGGGAGTTGGCGCCCAGCCCACCTAGGGGCTGGTTCCCCTCCATATTCAGCCCATAGGGCCTTCTGGGGCAGGTGGACCCTCCCGGTGGATCCCCGAAACCCTTTCAGTGGTCCCCGTACAATACCGGTAGACCCCCGAACACTTCCGGCGACCGAATAAGGACTTCCCATATATAAATCTTCATCTCCAGACCATTCCGGAACTCCTCGTGACATCCAGGATCTCATCCGGGATTCCGAACAACATTCGGTAACCATATACTAATTCCCATAACAACTCTAGCGTCACCAAACCTTAAGTGTGTAGACCTACGGGTTCGGGAATCATGCAGACATGACCGAGACATCTCTCCGGCCAATAACCAACAGCAGGATCTGGATACCCATGTTGGTTGCCACATGTTCCAAGATGATCTCATCGGATGAACCACAATGTCGGGGATTCAATCAATCCCGTATACAATTCCCTTTGTCAACCGGTATGTTACTTGCCCGAGATTCGATCGTCGGTATCCCAATACCTTGTTCAATCTTATTATCTGCAAGTCTCTTTACTTGTTCCGTAATGCATGATCCCGTGACTAACTCCTTAGTAACATTGAGCTCATTATGATGATGCATTATCGAGTGGGCCCATAGATACCTCTCCGTCATACGGAGTGACAAATCCCAGTCTCAATTCATGCCAAGTCAACAGACACTTTTGAAGATACCTGTAGTGCACCTTTATAGCCACCCAGTTACATTATGACATTTGGTTCACCCAAACCATTCCTACAATATCCGGGAGTTGCACAATCTCATGGTCTAAGGAAATGATACTTGACATTTAGAAAAGCTCTTAGCAAACGAACTACACGATCTTGTGCTATGCTTAGGATTGTGTCTTGTCCATCACATCATTCTCCTAATGATGTGATCCCGTTATCAACGACATCTAATGTCCATGGTCAGGAAACCATAACCATCTATTTATCAACGAGCTAGTCAACTAGAGGCTCACTAGGGACATGTTGTGGTCTATGTATTCACGCATGTATTATGGTTTTCGGTCAGTACAATTATAGCATGAATAACAGACAATTATCATGAACAAGGAAATATAATAATAACCATTTTATTATTGCCTCTAGGGCATATTTCCAACAACAAGGTACTGCGAACTATGGGATTCACTCTTCTGGGTACCCGACAGTACTTGAGGGGTATAGTGATTCGAATTGGATATCTGATGCTAATGAGATGAAAGCCACAAGTGGACATGTCTTCACACTTGGTGGTGGTGCTGTTTACTGAAAGTCTTGCAAGCAGATGATCTTAACCAGATCGACTATGGAAGCAGAACTCACAGCATTAGACACATCATGCGTCGAAGCAGAATGGCTTCGAGAGCTTTTGATGGATCTGCCGGTGGTTGACAAACCAGTGCCGGTTATCCTTATGAACTGTGACAATCAAACGGTGATTGCCAAGGCTAAGAGTTCAAAGGACAACATGAGATCCACAAAGCACATAAGAAGAAGATTGAAATCTGTCGGAAAATCAAGAAACTCCGGAGTAATAGCGTTGGATTATATCCAAACGGCTAAGAATCTGCCAGACACTTTTACGAAAGGGCTATCACGGATTGTGATAGAAAATGCATCGAGGGAGATGGGTATGAGACCCACGTAAGTTGCCATAGGGTAACCCAACCTATGTGATCGGAGATCACGTGAATTAGGACCTGGGAAAACAATCCAGCGGTCAACTGATGAGAGTATCCTTAATAAACCCACTCCATTGGAGATGTAGTACTACTCTCAATTATGTAAGGCAGGCTGGCTTTTGTCTTAATGTGTTCCAAAGCTTGTGTAAGCAAGATGCTAACCTACAAAGCATTCTTTGGAGGAACACGCCTATGTGAGCCCGACTGCTGGTCACAGTCTATGAGATTGGGTGATCTCTAGGAAGCTCATGAGAGGTACGGAGTATGACTAATAAGCTCCACCCGTGGGGTTTAGCCTTCGGCAACCACGTATCAGCTGACAATAGGCAAAACTTCTACATGCCAAATTGACAATTCAAGGCATAGTCCATTGTTCAGTTGTGAAGAAGTCTAATCCCATTGCTCTAGGTGGAAGTTCAACTTAACAGTCTCCACTGAAAATTCGGGTATATCATTGGTTGGAACAGTTGACAAACTTATGTGCCTCGAGATCTGGTGAGGGATTGTTGGATTATGGATGGGCTTAGGCCCATATAAGACAATAATCCCTGGTTAATCTCTAAGGCCCATGCATGTGTATGGCAAGTGGTGGAAAGTGTGGGAAGTTTAGTACCATACTGCTATAGTAAGAAGAGTGAGACCTCTTTATAAGGGATGCTCTACCACTTGCTATTGGGAGCTTGAGAATAAGAGTTGTACACGAGCGCTCCTCCTCCTCCTCCGCCCACCTCGCCTCGTCACGACGCGTGCGCGCCGCGGGTTGCGGGAATGAGCCAAGCCGAAGCTTATTTTTGCCGCTCGGGAATGGTTAATTAATTGTTAATTAATTAACGAGTCGCTTACGGACGCGCCACTGTCCGAGACATTGGACCGTGGGATGTTCGCGGACTCGGTCGTGGGCCTGGCCCAGGCCCATCTACCCAACGACCTATATAAGAAGGCCCTGCCTAGTGGAGTGAACCCTAACTCAGTTCACTCACACCATCTCGTACAACCCTAGTCGTCATCTGTTGTTCCTCTCTCTGTGCTGCTTCCGGCGATTCCATCCCGACGACCGCGTGCACGGTTGGTCGAGAGAGCAGGTGCCTCTGAAACCCTGTCGTTCGAGATCTTGCCCGGGAGAACGGCAATAAGGTTTTTGGGGAGCGTCTCGACGCGACTGCTCCCGATCTGTCCCCAGCTCCGTCCGCCTCTGCTTCCACTACTTCCCCTACATCGACACCATGGCTGACGCCGCCGCCGCCAAGAAGAAGCCCAGGGACGAAGGGCTGCTGCTGCCGCCGCCGCATTGGCCTAGCCAACCGGAGGGTATGATCTGTTCATCCCTCATTTACTCGTATTTGTATTATCCGTATATGTACTGCTCATAGATGGTTCGGTTCTATGTTCTGTACGTGCTAGTATGCTTAGGTATCGGCATGAGATGCATGCCTTGCCATGCTTACTGTTTACTCGTGGATTAGTCTAATCGAAAAAGTCCTAATATTTCCAACATTCTCTTTGTCGAAAAAAGAACAAGTGTAGTTGTGGCATTATCTCTGTAATCCTGGTACTTGTAAGTGAAATATAGATCGGGACTCGAACATCATGTCCTCATTCCGGCGATGCTGATTGCCATCAGCAAAGGGCGTGTGGAACTTAGATTAGGGGCCCCGTTTTTGTGTATGTTTCATCTTGGTGGTCTTCGACGGCGTCCTTTGGCAGAGTGGACGATGGCGGTTCATATTCGTTTCTTTCGGCTTCTCTTCGGCCAAGCGGAGCCAGGTTCAACTTCTTCGTTGGGAATCTAGTGAGGGTAGGCTTGCCTGATTCTGTTTGGATGGATTTCTGCCCTCCTTGTTGCTTTCTTCTCCGGGTGGCGATCTAATCCTCAGTTCATTGTCGCCGGCTTCTTCTGCCTCCGTCCGGTGACTTGGAGATCAAGAGGAGACATCGAGCTTTACTTGCCACCGGTGAATTCAGGAGAATATGGGCGTCCCTAGGAGTGAGACGCTGACGTTTTTCTTTCTTTTTGAGATAGTTTGTATGTTGTTATGACATCATTTTCACCACCACAAGTTTAATCTTGAGAAAACAAATGCAGATTTTTAACCCCCAGGACGATTTTGCTCAATGGCATTCAGGAACGGAACAGGCAGCAGCTCAAATGTAAAAGCCAATTTTGTCAAATCTCTCTTGGAATTAGGTAAACTGAAACAAAGTTTAGTTTAGTATACCAGCACAGTAAATTATTCCTATTCGGTGATTTTTCTTATCTGTAGGCCTGTGAACCCAAAGCAAAGGAATGTGCACAAGAACTCCAATTGGAAACCTCTAACATGGAAACTCCAGAGACCCCCACATTTACTTGAATTTCACATGGCAAACTTCAGGTCAGGAAATGCTGGGTCTGCCTTGCTTTATACCTTGAAGCGAGATCACTGTCTCGAAAGCGCCAACGAGGGCCTTCACTTTGCTCCTCCTCGCCTCGACGAGCCTGCTCGCGGTCTCCTTGATCACATTGTTGAATAATCGCGGCTCGCTCTTCTTTTTGTCATTGGCACCCTGATGCCTCAGGACAACAACTTCAGCTCTTGAAGCACCTGAATCTTTTGATGCAGCAGAGGCTTTAGCTTCATTGTTCTTGGTGATTCTGCGTCTGGCAGGATACTTGCTTCCGTTGCCGTCATCTGTAGCATCTGCAGGCCTGAACTGTACTCGTCTGGGAGTGCTGTTGTCAGAGTTGCTGCCAAGGTTCAGCACCTTGCCACGGCGAAACCTCAGCATGCGAGGCGACTTCATGATGACGCCTGAGGGCGTGGATGTTATCTTTGGTCTTCCTGCAATTTCAGTTCTTGCAATAGCCCCATTTTCTGTAAAATGGGAATGATGTCTTGTCATTTTCTTGCCATGAACTCCAAGCATATGTTTATTTGAAAAGAAATATTTCATAGAAACTTGTCCATACATTGCCATGTTAGATGTTAGTACCTCCGTTCCAAAATACAAGACGTTAAGGCAGCGCTATAATCAATCATGCCATACAAGTTGCATATTGGCATTATTAATTGCCATGTGAAATTCATAATATTGTATAGAAGAATTAGGAAATTTGTGACCTAAGGTGCAATTATATATTTATGATTCAGAAGGTAAAGATAAGATGTACCTTTGCGAGATTGTCTCTCTTTGTTGTTAACGTCTGGTTTTCGTGTTTTTGGCGAAGCTGTCTTCGTTATTTTATCCTTGCACCCAGAAAAACTTTCTATCCCATAAAACTTCTTACTCTTCACTGGGGAAGCAGAAGTTTCTTTCCTGACTGCTCTCACCGTAGAACGAGACAGCTTCAGTGGACTCAATGTAACCTTTTCTTCTCCCTTGTTTTGCCAAAGTTGAGCATTCTTGGCAACATTATTAAGTGTAATCTTTCTTTCAGTCTCCTTCCCTGAAGGAGGTGATGGAGATGGAGCATGTTCATTTGTAGCAGGTTTGGCACACGAATCCATCACGCTAGCTGGTGATGGCGCTTTGATTTTCTTCACTCTTGGAAGAGTTGATGTGACAATGGAGTTAAGTTTCCTCTCCTTGTTGAACTTGTTAGGAACGCTAGGATCTGCCTTTTTGGCCGTTGTCCTTGGCCCATCGGCGCTTCCAGCTGATGTACCTGCAGCCTTCTCATGCGATGTTATTTCGCTCTTCTGCTTTGGCATGGTGTTTCTGGTTATAGTCGACCTTGCTTTCCTGTTTGGTTTCACAGACTCCTGGGAAAAGCTCTGTGGTTTAGTCACGTCCTTATCTTGTTTGTGCTTCTCTGTTGCCATCACAGTCTGCTTAGTCATGTTCACTGAACTTACAGAGTCATTTGCGGGATGATTCGTACTATGATCGTCAGACTCATCCCTGTCCTGGATGGCCAACGGCATATCCAGCTCAATGCTTACAGCTCCTTCTGACAATTGTCCATCTCCACAGCTCGACAAGTCATCAAGTGAGATGATGAGGCACTTCGCACAATCTGGCTGGTTTCCAGCCACAACAGTTCCAGATACTTCATCTGATAACAACTCTGCACATGGAGACCTTTCAAGACGACCAGGTACTCCTTTCAGTGATGGCTTCTGCTTGGTAAATTCAGGCTTAGCAGGAGCAGCGCCATCTTTTACATGAGAAATCTTCAGCGTCTGACTCTTCTTTCTTGCTTTGTCTCCTTGTGGGATGACTACAGCCAGGTCCTGTGTTCCATTCCTGGCGTTCGTGCGGTCCTGACGCCAGCCACGAACAGGCGAGTATTTCTTAGACTCGGAAGAATGATGAATACCAAGTTTGCAGTTGTCATGGCATGAGCCAGTGGATGCTCTCTGGTAATGTGGGATTGGCTTCTCTTTCCTCCTCAGAAAGGCTGGCAAACTGTTGCCATCTGTATTTTCAGTGGTATTTACCGGGAAATCTTCTTTCTTCGACTCAGCCGATGCAGGAGTTGTTGAAGTGATAGCCTGTTTGATTACCTCCTCGGCCATTTAGAAGCAAGGATGCTGCAATTGCAGACACATGTGTGAGCACATGAAAAATTCACTCGGCGTGGTTAATAAATTACAGAAAAGGTGAATCGAGTGAATTAAGCAGTGCAATATTTCTCAAGGTCAAAAGTGAAGACCACATTCCACACCAATTTTTTTAGCCATCTCTGTCCTATTTGTTTCTGCCACTTGGTCAAGATCTGCATCTCCTATTAGTAAAGAACTTATTCCAAGAATATGCATAGATGGATCCTCCATTCTCCCTCCAGTTCAACCAATTCTCACCAAACCCAACTAATTCGATACTTCATCTATCTTATTAAAGTCTTAACATAAAAGCATTTCCACATTATAACTCCTCAAACATGTTATAACACCTATTTGTATCAATCCTTCCTACATTATAATTAGTACTTTTGCCAGGCAACCTTCCAATTAGTATAATCTTAGCCAATCAAGCAAGCCCTACTTACTCCCCTTTGAATTCTTCCGTCTTTTGGGTTTGCTGCAATCAGTTTCTTTAGAGACATATAACTCATCAATGATTACCCATTCCCAATCTACCAGCTATTGATAGTTACTGGCGTAGCCTAGTTGACATAAGTGTTAAATCAATGTTTAATACAGCACAAGTTAGTACTACAGGGACATGTAGAATGGTTCCAATCCGATTCTTTAATGAATAATTTACAGTAAGTACATATTCTTGTTACTAATACTAATTTAATCTAGTAGTATCAGCGAGATGGATGTGCTAGCGTAGTTGACTTGACACCACAAAAGAGTACAGCATTAATTCAGTAGCACAGGTTAAAGATGAAACAGGTTCCTCCAAAGAATCAACGAACTGAGACGCAATTAAACAGAACCATATCCCGATGATATACAGATGGCCATCAACACTGGAAGAAAAGAAAGAAAGAAAAAACTGTAGAGCGTCATGCGCCCCCCGCCGTTTCCTGATGGGAAACTTTCAAGAAGAAACTAGCTAGATTGGATCGTCCAGAGTCCACCCGAGATCGCAGCGCCGGAACTGGAATCTCCGAATTAAAGCCTTACCTGCTGACCGACGTCCTGCTCCCGGTTCTAGCTTGATTGCAAGGACTCCAGAGATGCGATGCTCGATCGGAAGGGTCGGGGAGGCAGCTAGCGAAAACGCATGGACGGCCAGAGACCAATGCAGAGGAGGACAGGAAAGGAGAGATTGCTTCTGTATATAGTACTAGGTAGGTACCTCGTGCTTCCGCCGCTCGCCGCCAAACCGACGAACAGAACGGCTGCGTGTGGTACGGATGTGCCGGTGGAATGATCCGTGTGCGAGGAGAGGGAGGTTGCCGCTGACGCGTTGGGGAGAGAGAGAGAGAGGAGGTGTCGAGGGAGAAGCGTGGATGTTAGCACGTGGCGTTGGAGGTGGGAAAACAAACACAGTACGTGCACAGGGGAGAACGGCAACTCCGACGCCCCGATGCAAACGGATGCAGTTTTTACCATTGGTCAGTTGAAGGCGCCTTGTATAGCTGTGTCCGTTTAAACCTGGTCGGTGCGCCCAACCAGCCGACTCATTTTTACGCGGCTGAATTTTGCTATAAAATCAAAAATTTAAAGTGAGTGTCTATAGTTCATGCCAGCGATCATAGTTCATATCGACGTACGTACAGACATATCTGCCCGCCTATAAAAAAAATCATCATAATTCATGCCAGCACAAAAAGGCCATGGTCCATACATCTCGACCGTAGTTCATGCCGGCATGCAAAAATGATGGCGCTCTCGGCCATAATTCAACCATCTGGCTCGAGCATCTCCTTTTACCTCTTCTCGAACCAAACGCTTCTCCTTAGGACATCTTGCTCAAGTCTACTATCATGATCTCCACTTCCTTCAGCTTGAGCCTCACCTCCTTTGCTTTTGTGTTTGCAATGATCTCCTCGATCTCAAGCTTCTGTTGTTGGACGTTCCCTTCGATCTCGAGTTTCTTCTTTTGGACGTTCTCTTCGATCTCGAGTTACTTCTTTTGTATATCTCGATGTAGGCCTTCATTTGCTCCTCTTCTCTCTTGACGCTTCCTCTTCTCTCTTGCTTCCTTTTGGGTCATGAACCCTTGCAAAGTTTCTTGCAAGGTGAATGTCGCCACATCTTGCTTCTCATCCAACTTGGAGTTGATCTCCCCCCTAGGCCGCTTTCTCTCCTTCACCATGCTCAATGACGGACACCGGCCCTCCATTCTTCTTTTTGGGCGGCATATTGCTCCCTAAACTTTGGGCAATCGCAAATGATCGTCCAAAAATGGGTGAGGGGTGAATGGCATGTCCCAATGTTGGGCCTTGGAGGCTCCAAAGCTTGGTATGCCTACAAATGAAAATAAACACAAAAATGTACATTCATATGCAATGGACATAAAATCATCAATCAACAAGATACACACATATGAACAAGAAGAAGGAATCTTATACCGTGTCTTTGATATCTAGGTCACTTACCCGACGGCCTTCGATCCTCTCAAGGGTGCCACAAACTTATTACACTCTTGCCAAATGATCCACCACCTCTTTGAGATTGACACGTCACCACGATTGCTCTCAAACTTGTAGGTCGGGAACTTCCTACGTTCATGAAAGTATCTATGAACTCTCGCCAAAATGTTGATCCTTTTTGCTCAGCGCCTATCTTGGGATCTTGTCCAATTTCCTTCCAACCTTCGCGAATCAACTTAATTATCATTATCCTTTGTGTATGCTTTCATCTGAATGCTTTGCCGCCTCCTCTTTTGTGCATTGTCTTGGTTAGTGAGCTCATCTGCATAAAAAGGCTCCCCTCAATGTCCACATTGTCTTCTTCCTCTTGTCCGTAAGTGTCTTCTTGCCATTGGTCGCCTTGGTTGTGGGTGTCTTCTTGGTTGTCGTGGACGTCCATGCCCTCTTGGCTTTGCGTGAAGTGGTCGCGGCCGTCTTGGCTTTGGGTCTCATCGGCATCGTACGCTTGGCCGCCCATCTAAATGATGTTTTCCGTGAATCATTGTAGTAGGACGAGTCTTCATGCGTGGATGTCGGGGCCGGCGTATCGTTGCGGGCGTCAGGAAGGTTGCCAGTAGGAATCTCCCGTGGTCGCTTCCCTTTGTGCCCCGGTGGATGACCCATCGGCCACAGGTGTGGCATTGAGGTTGATGGCCACAACCACGGGAGTGGACGGTGTGATCACAATCACTTTTGGTGAGCAATTCCGAAGTGAGGTGGAGAAGTAGGACATGGATGGGTCGTGTTGGGAGGGAAGCCGTGCGTCTGCAGCATGGTGGAGGTACGTGGCGACTCTGGACGTGGCGAGCAGGCAGCCGACGAGCCCATGCTCACCGCGGCCATGGCGGCGGCAAGAATGGACCGTTCGCTACGATGGAACCCTAGCAGGAGGAGCCTTGGTGCGTGGCCTTGGCGACAAGGGCCTCATTGTCCGCAATGGCGACCTCCTATTGTGCAGCAGCGACTTCTTTTTTGTTTGCCTCGACCTTCCGTCGGCCAACCCTCTTCGCCAACTGTTTGGCCCTCTACTCCGGCATGATATCCTTCTTGGGCTTCTTCTTGCGCACGGCGTGGGGTCGGATGGCGCGAGGCAGCGTGCGTGGGATGTCGCGACAGCCCTCGAGGCGGAGCCAGCAGAATCACACGCCACCGTGACAAGGACGAGGAAGCCCTC